TTGCTGGCTGGAGAATTCTGGAAGTTGAAGTCCACACGTCTTAAAGTTCCCAAGGTTGAAAGACACTCTTCCAAGCTGTCAGCAGCCTGAAATTCCACAGATCTGGCTTTTTCCCACCATGGAGGGAAACAGAGTCCCCCCTGTTGGATGTTGGCCTGTCTCACTGGAAAAATGACCCACCCACCCAGGATTAAAAGCATGGCAGGTAAAAATTCAGATATGGTATAGGAGCTGATGAAGAGCCTCACCTCTTTAGACTGTTTGATTTCCTGCCAAGAATAAGAGAACTTACCTCTTACTCTGGCTGGAGTCCGGCTGAAAACTCGGCGGCCACCACTGAGGACCGTCCAGGGCCCCTGCAACTTCTGGAGCACTTTGAACTGCATTTCTGGGCGCCTTGGGCAAAGAAAGATTGGGGAAACTCAGTAGGGATCCGACATTCCTAGACGGGCGGAAACACCCCAGAGGGAATTTTTTTTCCAACTTCAATACGGTGTTGAAATTGCAGAAGTGCCTCTGTGGGCGATTTTGTTTCTCAACACTCTCTAGCTTTCCTAGTGGCCTCCCATCCAATACGAACTGGGTTTGATCCGCTCAGCTTCCAAGCGCAGACAAGTCCGGCCATTTACAGACAGGGAGACTGTGACCCAGTCAGTCCCGCTGCACCACAGTTCTGCAAATCTAACTTCACTTTCAAGGCCCGGTCAGCGAGGGAGCGACATCTGGCGGGTCCTAGGAGGCGGGCCTTGTCTGCGGTGGCGCCTGCTCGGTGGAACGTCCTTCCCCCAAAGGAAGGCCGGCTTCATTTCTTGTGACCTTCTGAAGGCCCCTCAAAACCTGGCCTGGGGACCCCGGGGGGCTGGTGAAGGACTGGGGTGGCTCCCCTATTATTAGCATCTCTTTGCCTAACATTTCCTCTTTTTAGCTTTCTCTGTCGTAGTTTTTCAATGTTATCTAACAGTAATGATGATAATTGTGTTACTATTTATTAATTTAATGGCTTTTTAGCTTTGTCCCATGCCACCCAGAGTCCCTTGTTTGTGAGATGCCCGGCTGTATGCATCTGGCACCCAGCTAAATAAACGAATGGCACGGACTTCAGGAGAAACACGCGGAGGGCCAGTCCGATTCAGGCGCGGGCTGGGAGCGGGGATCCCGACCGCCAGGCCTGCCCTGCGCACCGCAGCCGGCTGGGTGACTGGC